TGTCCTGTGCCCAAAATCGTTACGTTTAGCAATCTTGAAAGACACTAAAGAAGGAATGGTACCCTTATTCCTGTGCGCGACAATTGGGACAACTTCAACAACTTCTGTTGATCCATTGCGTTCGCTTTGTGAAATTGCTAAGGAATATGGGATTTGGGTGCATGTGGATGCAGCCTATGCTGGAAGCGCTTGCATTTGCCCTGAATTTCAACACTTCCTTGATGGTATTGAAAATGCAAACTCTTTCAGTCTCAATGCACATAAATGGTTCTTTTCCACTTTGGATTGTTGCTGCCTTTGGGTGAAGGATCCAAGTGCACTTACAAAAGCGTTATCGACTAATCCTGAATGCTTAAGAAACAAAGCCACAGAGTTAAATCAAGTGATTGATTACAAGGACTGGCAAATTTCATTGAGCAGGAGATTTAGGGCTTTGAAACTGTGGCTAGTTTTGAGAAATTATGGAGTAACTAGTTTGAGAAATTTGATAAGAAGTCATGTGAACATGGCTAAGCATTTTGAAGGGCTTATAGCTATGGACAAAAGGTTTGAAATATTTGTGCCTAGAAAATTTGCTGTGGTGTGTTTTAGGATTTCTCCATCAGTAATAAGTCGAGTTTCGACAACGTTCGATGAGGAACAAGTGAACAAGTTCAACACTAAGTTGGTGGAGTCGATTAATTCATCTGGAAAACTCTATTTGACTCATGGAGTTGTTGGAGGAATTTATATTATTCGATTTGCCATTGGTGCTTCTCTTACTGATTATAGGCATGTTGACATGGCTTGGAAGGTGATACAAGACCATGCTAATGTCCTGCTAATTCCAGGCTCTTTTTAATTATTGAAAAAATAGGGTCAAATGTTACATTTTTTTTTCCTTTTCAAAGATTAGTTGGACCTTGATGAAGGAACCAAAACTCCGTATGTTTGTACTATTGCATTTACATTTGAAATAAGATCCTACGAAAATTCAGCACCACGTATGATAGCTACTTCAAAAGGAAATGAATGTGCACACATACAAAAGGAAAATAAGGAAAAGTCCCATGGTGTCCTTCGCTTTTTTTTTTTTTTTTTTTTTTTT